TTAAGTGGTGTGTAGCTAAAAACATTCTCACACGACCTCTAGTAACATGTCGTGTCTTAAACATAAGAACATATTATGGCTAAGGCTACAGTTATACACGTCATAATAATAATATTAAACACCCTGTCTGCTGACAGTCATCAACTCTTCTCTCTAGTTATCCTTGACTAGATGTACCCTGTAGAAACTCATAAGCATGACTAAGCATTTAACAGTCTAACTAGACATCCTATCTCCACTAAACATTTCTAATACATAAAGTATCTATCCAATATCTATCTGACTAAAAATTCCTAACAACACAACTGATTTCATCTGTGTGTCAACTGATACTTTCCCCAAGTTGCATAAGCTGCTTTTAGAGTTTGGGACTTGAAGATGAGACTGCACTTTTTATAAGCTGGCAGACATTTCTTCTCACCCAACAGCGACTGAATGACATAACAACAGTTCAGCGTACTCATCCACACAGACAAATGGAATCTTTTTGTTTTTCATTCCACTGCTTAGATGTAAAACAGCTGACTACAAACTACCTCTAATTTAACAGCTGTGTATAAACTAAAATGCTGTCGGAGCCAGTAAAAACAGCTAAAGACTGTCAGTTACTGGACAAAGAATCCTTTCAGTTCTTGCCAGGTGATCATTAAAAAGAAGAAATTTGCACAACATCCACTAGATGGCAGTGCTTGACAGCTGGTTTTGACTAGTTAATGGTTTTGCTGACTGCATTTGATGCAAGTGTTGTATCATTATCTGTTCTTCTCAAGTGCCACAGGGAGTGCAACAGTGAGCCAGGATGCACAACATACCTTCTATAACAAGACAAACTATTATCTAAAGGGTTTGTTTCTAAAATAGCTGTCTTCTGCCATGCAATGTAGAGTGACTGATGCAGTAAGCCCTGTCTATACAGGCCCTATAGTCTTGCTCTGCAGTCTTTCAGTTAATTTTACAAGTGTACTTTAGGATTCTTATGTTTATTTTTGGCATATATTGAGTTACTAGAAAAATGTGTTTTGTTCACACTTTGTTTATGATAATATTGGGAAGGCTAGTTTTGAAATGTACTAGGTTGCATATTGCTAGTTACCCTATTAGAAATAATAAGTAATGTAACTATTTGAATTACTTAATCAAAGTAATGTGACATTACTTTAATTACTTTTTGAATACTTTTCTAAAAAATGTTTCCAACTGGGCAAAACAGCTGAAAAGTCCCAACATAAATTTAACCCAGCACTGAATTTCTGGCATTGAAAAGTGCTCTTGTCTGACAACATGGCTGTTTTGGCAGTGGCTCAGGAGACGTAACATAGAGGAGTCAAGACAAGATATTTTGCTAAAGCAAAAGTTCATTGCCAACAAAAATTAAGAGCAAAGCAAGCAAAAGAACAAAAATGTGGTGGCTGGCAACCACGCTGCTGTGGACAGCTGGAGAACAAATGACAGAGAGTGGGTGGGCCTTGATGGAGCTTTTTAAAGGCAGGGCAGCTGGCGCCAGAGATCAGGTAATCATGGGGGGGAGAGAGAGGGTACCTGCAAGACTACAGAGATGGGACAACGTTATGCATAACACTGGCCACTTGCCTTAGTGTTATAGTTGGTTGCAGCCAGATTGCTTAGAGAGAGCACTGTGGGTTTATTTGATTGACAGATGAGAGGCAGTGCAAAGTCAAACAAGGGAACAGTCAAAAGTAGAGCTGGCAATGTTGACAGTCTAAACTGAACACATCCTGCCAAATGATCAGAGCCTGTTTAGATGTAGCGACAGCTCCTTGTTTGCCCTCTTACCCTTAATGGTGTTATTTGTCCCAATGAGTTTGCTGACCGCACTGTCTGGAAATACACCAAAAAAAGGCGTCTCATCTTTTGGTGTAAATAACACCCACCTTTTTAAAATCTGAACTATGTCCTGTTTCTTGCTGCTTGGTCCCTAACACATATACTGACTCTGTTCATGTCAGTTCCCAGCAAAGCTTTTTATTCTCTGTTTAGGTGATGTTGTCAGTGCAGCAGAGGCCAAATTATACTGGCTGTTTGTCTTAGGTATGGGTCAAACTCCAAACCCACTGGATACTAATAATACTGCTTCATTAGACCCTCCTCTTTTGTCAACAACTCCACATCCAATGCATTACATTAGAAACACGTGGACTCTAACCAAGCTGTAGGAGCCTCTCACTGACCTGATAGGAGTAGGAAGCACCAGAACTCAACTACAAGTGTCATAACAAAGGGTCTGAATACTAATGTAAATGTGAAATATCCTTTCAGTCTTTTATTCTTAACAAATTTACAAAACATTCCAAAATCCAGTTTTCACTTTATCATTGCGGAGTATGGTGTATAGATTGTTGAAGGAAAAATCTAACTGAATCCATTTTAAGAGGAGTCTGAAACATATCAAAATGTGGAAAACGTGAAAAGCTCTGAATACTTTCCGTACGGACTGTACATATATTTCTGATACTAAAATCAGTTTTCTGGTTTGTTCTGCTCATTGTGTCAGCGAGAGGTTTTCATTACCACGTGTTAATAATGCATGTGGCTTGTCAGTTCAATTCAATTTATTTTTATAGCCCCAATTCACAACAACAATTGTCTCAAGGCACTTTACATAATCAGGTCTAGATCTTACATTATTATGAGGAAAACCCAGCAAATCCCCCCCGAGCAAACACTTGGAGACCGTGGGGAGGAAAAACTCCCTTTAACAGAAGAAACCTCCAAGAGACCCTGGCTCTTGGTCGGCAGTCCGATGCTTTGGCCGGTTGGGGTGAGTGGATAGAGGAGAGACAAAAGAAGAAAAGCATCAGGACATAACATTAACAACGTAACAAACAAACTGTCTGCTCATCAGAAATATAGAGCTCTGGAGCCAGGGCTACCTGCAGGAAGGTACAGGGAAAGAAAGAATACCAAAACAAATCAAACATATCTTAAAATGCATTTCAGTAATTTCATTAATTTCCAATATTTTCAGAGGCACCACTTCATGGGTACAAACAAGGGCCATCCCATTGACTAGACAGCACTGGTACAGTTAAATATACTCATTGTTAA